CTGTGTCGATAGATACGATACGATACGTATTGACGATACGGCAGACCGATACGCGATACCTATCGCGATATGATGACAACACGAATTATGCCCAAAATAATCTCAAACTACATACATTCTGTTTCAAGATGTTTGAGATGGGTAAGCATCAGGGTCCTTAATTCATTTTGAAACGAACTGGCCAGAATTGGGTCAATATTGAGGTCCCGTAGGATATGAGTTAATTATAAGCTTCATTCCCTTTAATATAACTATACTTCAACAAAAATAATTCTTGGTAATTTGTTGTGGAGAATGTCGTATCTTAATGTATGTGATTACCACATGTACCATCTTGAAGTTCACATCCGTAATATTCCAGAATAAATTAATTACTGTCTTCGTTTATTTAATTTGATGAAACGTTCGCGTTTCATAAGTAGATGATCTAAAATATTAGCATTTTTCAACTATTGCCAGTATCAGAAAATGCCGTAGTCAAAATAAGCTGATACGGCACCATGGCATTTCTTCATAACACAATTTGTAGTCTTTGTCGATCAGGTAACTAGTTACGTAACTTGGCAAAAGTTTTTATTCATTCGTCAATTGATAGACACACCGTACAATTGTCACGTGACAACCATACTAGAAATTGCTTTAAAATAAAAATTCAGTACGATTATGATATAGCCTTCAATAAAAACAATATTTTTAAAATTAAGCCTTTGTCAGAATGTGTATAAAATAAAAATTCAGTACGATTATGATATAGCCTTCAATAAAAACAATATTTTTAAAATTAAGCCTTTGTCAGAATGTGTATAAAATAAAAAATAAAAAAATCATAACGGTAAGCGCTATTTAGAACTGGTTTATTGACCTAATTCCAAGCGATATGCCACGTGTCATTGGAATTCTACCAGGAAAATATATTATTAAATGACTGTTTTTCGGTGTATTCGGTGTTCTATCAGGGGATTATATTCAATGAAGATTTAAATTTACCTAACAACTGGTCAGTGAATCCATCAATGTATGATCCAGTTATTATTTTAATATCTGCCGGTACCCTGAATTCATACCGAGATCGTCTTCTATCGCCACATGGGTTTTGTGGTCTTTCTTAACTGAAGAATTTTTTCAACGATACGGCTATATTACGTATCGATATAAATATCGCTGGAACGTATCGATACGTATCAGTGTATCGATATATCGACACAGCCCTAGTATTTATCAGTTACATTTTGGGCTGATTTTTTTAAACGCTAGACCATACATGTTGTTAGAGAAATGCGTGGTCTAACATATAAACGGTAGATCAAGGTCCATATTTTTATTTCATTAAATGCAACTTTACATATATGGTACGCAATACAAAAGACACATAAGAGAAACGTAGATCATAGCGAGCACACATGCCTATCTAAAGACCTGTCTTTAAGTTTAACTATACAAAGACCTGCGTTAAACACACGATCGAATGAAATCGTACGGTAAAACAGTTTTACTTCGAAAATTTTGATTTAACACGTACATGTCAGATAAAGCCTGTTGGTCCTTGATTATACTCCCTTTGGTGCAGTTATCGCAACTAGCGATAAAACACGCCAATTAAACAATACACACCAATGACATTAATTTTTTACCGGTCGGATAATAAACACACCTCTACAGAAAAAGCACCGTCCACAGTTTTTCACCCCTAGCGTTAATGAACTCACCTCTCAGGCAGTTTTTCAACCTTGTTAATTAACGCACCTTATTTACAATTTTAACGCGGCAATACCGAGTAATAGTCGGGAAATTAATTTTCTTTCGATAGACGTACAAATAACAAGCCAAACAGAGATTTATATAGGGGTGCGTACAGATCAACCACTTAGTAGTTCTCAGTGTAACCATATCTGCTACGCTATAAAGTTTCATTAATCTACTCACCGTAGTTTAGTTGTACGAAATAATTGAAAAGTGGCCTGAAAATGATGATTTTTTGGCTTTTTTCAGTCTTAAAATTTCAATTTTTTTTCTACACTCTAAAAATGGTTCGACTGATCTAAAATTGTGGCAGTGGGGTTTGGTGGGGTTATCCATCATACATAAAAAAAATGGTGAAAATCTTGTCACCCACCATGTGCCGGTCCCTGCATGGTTCTCTCGCAAACGCATTCTTAAGTTACATGCATTATAATGATTATCATTATTTAATAAAATATCATGATTATATAAGTTAGGACAATTGTAAAGAGTACTTATATCATATAAATAGAATATTTGCATAAGCTACATTCAATTTTTAATGTCTGCAATTCTGTAAATAGTTTTGGCTTATATGTATATTGAATGAAGACCACAGGGGAAAAACTGGTGATGTTCAAATCTATGCTTTTGTTCGATTACTTCCCCTGATTTTACCCCTTGGTCCCTTCTTTCTTCTCCATAAATATTGTATGGAACAACTGGACATGCCACTCTCTACAGAGGGTTTTTTGAAAGGCATAAAAGGGAAAAACTGGTGATGTCCAAACCATGGTCAGTCAAATCAAATGGCCAAAATACACCATAGGAATGCTATGGGAGTGTGCACCAGCTTAATTAATGTTCTCACTAAATGCATGATTCTCCATAGAAACTTGCAATATTTAAAAAAAAACTCTTCCGAACTGAAGAAATGAGTGTTTAAACTGGAAATTTCCATTTACTCAAAAGTCAGAAAACGTGACATCGCCAGTTTTTCCCCTGGAGTCTTCAGAAGACCACAGGGGAAAAACTGGTGATGTCCACATTTATGCTTTTGTTCGATTACTTCCCCATGATTTTACCCCTTGGTCCCTTCTTTCTTCTCCATAAATATTGTATGGAACAACTGGACATGTCACTCTCTACAGAGGGTTTTTTAGAAAGGCATAAAAGGGAAAAATTGGTGATGTACAAACCATGCTCAGTCAAATCAAATGCCTAAAATACACCATAGGAATGCTATGGGAGTCTGCACCAGCTTAAATGTTCTCACTAAATGCATGATTCTTCATAGAAACTTGCAATATTTTTAAAAAAAACTCTTCCAAATTGAAGAAATGACTGTTTAAACTGGAAATTTCCATTTACTCAAAAGTCAGAAAACATGACATCACCAGTTTTTCCCCTGGAGTCTTCAATTATTTAATATTTTGCGTATGATCTTATTACTGAATAAAGCATTACCAAGATTATTATTATGGAATGGAATAAACTTATGTTTTACTAATGAATCCTGCGTATGTCATGTTCTTTTTAACACATTAGGCATTTGGCCAAATGCCTGACCACATTTGGCATTTGACCAAATGACTAGGTGTTTGTCCAAATGGCTGATTTGACAGATTGACTGTAACATATAGACAAAGTAGGCTTAATAGAAAACTAGACACTATTTCACATTGTTTTGTGATTCACATCAAAAATGATATAACAATATTATTCTTAATAAATGTTCAGAACAATTTTTTTCAGTTCTAAAATACCAAACCTTTACTCTAACAATAGGTTTATTGCTAGAGCATACATACTGGCATGGAACTGTGTGCAGTATAAATGTACATATTATTATTATTATTAGTCTTTAATGAGTATGTATGGGATTTCAAAATTATACTTGTCGAACATTTTACCGAAAATAAAGGGGCATAACTCTTATCGTTATTTTAGCAGACGAATTCGTACCACAATTAAAAGTCACATGTCAAAATATTCAAATCCCGTACGTAATAAAAATAGGTGAACCTCGCTATTTTTCATATTTAATTCCCGTACAGTATTAAATTCATACCACAATTAAAAACCACATGTCAACAAAATATTCAAATCCTGTACGTAATAAAAATTGGTGACCTCGCTATTTTTTACACTTAAATCCCGTACGGCATTCAAATTTATGTCAGTAAATGTCCTACAAAATTAAGCATTTTCGTGATATGTTGATTTGATGCTTGCCGATCCTGCTTCGACATCAAATTCACAACCATAATATTCCTTTAGAATTACGTGTCTTCGTTTATACGGCAGCTAATGAATGCAGAACTTCCGAAATAGTTAAATCACTTGTAAACAGGCATAGCTAACTTCAGCGAATAACACTCTTTCATAGTCACGACAGAGTGACAGGCATCATAGGCAACACAGCAGAATGATTGACGCCTACAAATACGTTAGAAATTCTGCTCATATAGCTATTGGTAGCCCCTCCCCTTTTTGTTATTTTGCTGGGTGCGTACTAGTCTCGGTCACCCAGAAACTCCTAGTCTTCAACATATTCGTAGAATATTTTTCTGGATAATAGAGACTAATAGCCTACGTGACTCATCACACGGCTTCATAGTAAGCACTGCCTAATAATATGTTAAGCAATATTCGTGCCGCGCTCCAGATCAAGGGAAAGTGCCACTGTGGATGAGAATTTCTATATGGATTCTTAAAAGACGTAAAAGATATCGTAGACAAAATGACTGTCCATTGATTTAGGGTGTTATTTACTCTTACGATATGTGACATCTATGATTAGTTTATTATAGATGATGTCGGCTCACATCAATGCGATTAAGATGCCCGACAAATGAGGTGGATTAAAATTATAATCATTCTTATTGAATTGATGAATAGTCCGACAAAAGGAAAGCAATGACTTCTGTTTAAGATTAGATTGATGAATTGTCCGAAAAAGGATTAAGTCAGTCAATCAAGGCAGATTAAGTAGTTAAATCAAGGTAGGTTTATACTATAGACGGTATAACACGATCAATACGTTGATCACTTAATTACCTAGTAAACCCAGCGTATTATCGACGATAATCGGGTTGAGTGGTAGTTATACACTCAGTAAACTATATTAATTTCGGAATTTTGAATATTATTCACCATGTCTTGATGTCCGATTGGGCATATTCCCGGTCGGACAATTTTGGGCGTTTGGAAAAAAGATTCGGACAAGTCCGGAATATACGGGCAAAATCCCATCACTAGTATGTATGTATGCAAATTACCTCAATAGTTTTTCCTTCAAAGACTTTAAGATCAACCCACTCTCCTGTAGTATCTCGAATTCTTCGTTTTCTCAATCTCTACAATACAAAATTACAACAATGAAATTGTCAATCTTTTACTAATGGTCAATGACTTACTAAATTACAACCAATAAATTATAACAGAAACAAATTTGCAAGGTTTAGTAAAGGAATACGATATTATAAATTTTAAAAAAAAAAGGATAAAAGCTCTACACCATCAAGTTTTCACTTTATTTTGACTTAAACTGACTTATCTATAGACATAATGATAAAAACTATGTATAAAGACACCTGTAACACATTCAACCACCACTTTCATTCCATTCAATACCAGATAATCTGCCAGATTACTTTGAACTAATGAAATAAGTTTATTTATAGGTTGTTAAAATGATGTATGTATTTCTTCTATAGTATAAGTAAGAAAAGAGATGAAAGGAGACAAATATAAATTACCAACCATATCAGCTTTATCTGTGGTAAATACTGTTGGGTTTTCTGCTGTCTTGTATGTCAATAAGTGAGTTTTATTTAAATTGTTGTATAGCGCTTGTTCTGAAATATATTACTAGAGTTAAACCATATCAACAATACTTTGATCATCTGTAGTTCTCAATAGTTAGTCTTTTTAAACCAACTGAATTCATTAGCGTTACGTTTACTATATTTCTCATTCTGTTCTATGTTCTAGATCTTTTCTTTCAAATACTATATGACTGAAAGTAAATTATCAGATTTTACCAGTTGATTCAATGTTGACTTTACAGATTTACACAAGGTTAGATCAATAGAAATATAAAATTTCTAATGATCATCTTTCTATGTTTGAATGACAGTAATAAATCAATCAAGTCATACCGCAACCAAAGTTTATCACACCAATGCACTCTAGGTAGGAATGAATTCTTCCAATACAATTGACATCACCACAATTCTTCAAACCCTTTCTTACAGATGTTTTATTTAAATATACTGGTTTGCTTTTCAACCTAAAAATATATTACAAACTAGTTTTATTTAAACGAAAGTAGAACTAAAAGAGAGTGTGTAGATTACGAATCTGCAATCAGATGACAGGTGAGTGGTAGGGTTTGCACATTACTTGGCCATGAAAACCGAAAACAATTTGGTGTAATTGTATATTTTCTGGATTTTGTAGTGCTCCAGGAGCTACAAGAGAGAGAGAGAGAGAAATGGGGTTTAACGTCCACTCGACACAAACTAGGTCATTTCGGGACTAACATATGGTTTAATTTTATTTACATAATTCGCTTGCGCGTAGGGGTCTTTAGCAGTGGGAGGAAACCGGAGGACCCGGAGAAAACCCACGAGGTTGGACAGGGGACCCTACTCCTTGCCACGTACAACCGGGGATTCGAAACCACGTCAGTCGACTCAATGACAGACTTTATGATACAGCGCGCGCACGCTAACCATTCAGCCATCCAACCCCCCCAGGAGCTACAAGGTAATAGATACAGATCCATATTTAGGCCTATCCAGAGATTGACGGTAGTACTACATAAGAAATATATGAGAACGCATCAGTCTTCACTAGATTCCCAGAAAATCGGCCTCGAATATGGTTTTAGACACAAATTTTCGAAAATGTGTGATTTGGGTCTTTCCATATGTCAATTATCACCCAATGAGTTAAACTGTACCCACTTCGATTTTGCTGGAATACGGTTTAAATGTTTATTAGGCCTGAAAAAGCTGGTAGTCCAAATTTTAGCTTGATCCGACTATCACCGAATCGTGATACTAATTTTTAGTTCTTTTTCAAATTTTATTTTAAGAATACATAATTTAATTCTTAACTCTTTATTCACGTACATAGGCAATATAGCTAACATTAAGGTTATTAGTCTGCCTGTCTTTACTTTTAATGTTAATATTTTGATTTAAAGTCTATAAAGTAATTGCCTAAAATTGCCTAAAAGCAATAATGAATGAATGAATGAAATGTTGTTTAATGGCACGTCAGCTCCAACCGGGCTATATTGCGCCAAACATATGGTGAGGTTTCTCGAGACAAACTAGAAACATATAATCACAATATTATCTATATATACATAAATAAAAACAAATATCACAGTAAATATCAAATAAAAATAAATATAAACTTTATGTATATATATTTAAAACATGAAAGGGAAAATCAGATATATACAATTAAAATTTTCGATAAAAATTTGTCTCCTTTAAAAAATCTAGCGCTTTACAATATAGACCCGGTTGGGCAAACAACTGATGCAGTGATTGGCAACGGTAATGCTGTAGTCTTGTATCTTTGAGATGCTTGCACTCAATCAAAATGTGCTTAACTGTCAAAGGAACATGACAGTGTTCACATTCTGGTTGAGGCTCTCGCTTTAAGATGAAAATATGTGTTAAAAAAGTATGACCTATGCGAGAGCGACACAAGACAACTTCATCTCTCCTGCTCGTACGATAGAAGCTTGGCCAGTCTCCTAAGAGAGGCTTGATGTGATGAAGTTTATTTGTGTCTGCAAGATCCCAAGACCGTTGCCAGCGGTCAAATATAAATTCATTTATGGATGATTTAAAATCGATAAATGGTGTTAAAAATTCAGATATGGGAAGATCTAAAGCAGACTTGGCAGCCGAGTCTGCTTGATCATTCCCTTTGATATCCATATGACTGGGGAGCCAGCAAAGGACAGTGTCCTTGCTGATGAACTCGTTTGATAGTAGCAGACCATAAATGTCTGCTACTAATGGGTGATCAAGCTGTTTATTATAGATTGCTTGTAACGAGGACAAAGAATCAGAAAAGATAATATGCTTTAAAACTGACGAGGATTTAATGAACTCCAAGGCTTGGAGAATGGCCTGGAGTTCAGCTGTAAAGATGGAAGCAGCAGGTGGAAGTCGTAGAGAAATGGTCGAGGATGGTGTCACGGTAGCCGAAGCTACCCGTTCTCCATCTTTCGAACCATCTGTATAAATTGGAGCAGAATTACCATATTTAGACCTTAGCTCTCGAAAGAGAGACTGAAACACCGTCGAGCTAGTATCTCTCTTTTAATGTTGCGTCAGATCGAAATCGATCTTTGGGGGAGATATAGCCCACGGTGGAGTCCTAAAGAAAGGGGTATTCGCAATACTGTCAAGGCTGTTACCAGCCTCAGACAAAAGGGGTTGTATGCGAATACCGAATGGTGGAATAACTTTAGTCTTGAGCAGATATAAATGCTCATGATAGGGTCTAAATATGGCGCACACTGCAGGGCCAGTTTATCACGTCTGTTGTGCAGTGAGGGCTCATGCGCCTCAACGTATAAACTGTCCACTGGAGATCTACGAAATGCTCCTAAACTGGTTGTGTATGGTGTCGAGCTCTTTGAGATACGACTCGCGGGCAGACCCATACACAATACACCCATAATCGAATTTTGATCTGATTAATGCTCGATATAATCTGAGCAAGACAGATCTTACGGTCTGCTCTCCAGTCAGTATTTGATAAGACTCTCAATATGTTGAGGGCTTTCAGACATTTCTTTTTTAGGTTTTTAATGTGGGGGATAAATGACAATTTCTTATCAAATATCAGCCCCAGAAATTTGGTTTCATCTACAACCGGAAGGCGGTTGCCATCCAAAAATAGTTCTGGATCAGGATGCAAATCTCGTTTCTGACAGAAATGCATGCAGACAGTCTTGGATTTCGAAAAACGAAATCCATTTTCGGTTGCCCATTGTTGAAGTGAATTCAAACAAAGCAGCAACTTACGTTCGATTATCCGCATGTCTGTAGAACCATAGCACATCTGAAAGTCATCAACATAAAGAGCGCCGTTTGTACCTGGTTTAAGGCACGCTGGGATAGTATTAATTTTAATCGCAAAAAGAGCTGGAGATAAAATACTTCCCTGTGGAACCCCCATTTCCTGAGGAAATGGGTCAGAGAATATTGATCCCAGTCGTACCTTAAATGACCTATCTTCCAGGAACTTTTTAATGAAGATAGGCAAGCGACCTCGTAGGCCGAGGTTATGGAGGTCGCGCATGATACCGTGTTTCCACGTGGTATCATATGCTTTCTCCAGATCAAAAAATATTGCAACTAAATGTTGCTTCTGGATGAAAGCGTCCCTGATGAATGTTTCAAATCGAACAAGATGATCAAGAGTGCTCCTTTGGGACCGAAATCCACATTGGAGGTCAGTAATGAGGTTGTTGGACTCGAAGTACCAAACAAGCCTTCGATTGATCAATCTCTCCATCGTTTTGCAAATACAGCTAGTTAAAGCGATCGGACGATAGTTGGTAGGATTCGTATGATCTTTACCCGGTTTAGGGATGGGAATTATTGTGGCTTCATGCCACGAAGGGGGAAAATTCCCATCAACCCAAATCCGGTTAAAAAGATCCAATAAAATTAAGAGAGTGGAAAAAGGTAAATGTTTTAGAATTTGGTAGTGTATTTCATCTGGACCAGTTGCAGTGTCCCGAGCTCGCTTTAGCAAATCCTGAAGTTCTGCAATGGAAAAAATATCATTGTAGCATTCATCATTGCGGGACTTGAAATTAAGTCGCCTTTTCTCCTGCTGTTGTTGAATGCCTAGAAAGGCATTAGAAGAGAAATTGGATGATGAATTAAATAAAAATGTACTGGCCAGAGAATTAGCAATATCAGGAAATGTTGTTAAGGTGGTATTATCAACATTTAGATGATTAACTGATAATGCACTACTTTTACCTTTAATCCTACGAATCCTATCCCATACCGATTTGGATGTTGTACGGGAATTGATCCTAGAGACGTAACCTTGCCATGAAGACTTCTTTGCTTGACGTATGGTTCTACGGGCCTTCGCCCAGACCATCTGGTATGCCGCAATATTCTCCATGGAAGGATGGTTCTTTAGTTGTCTTAGGATACGATCACGCTCTTTTAGAGCAGATTTGCAATCGTCATTATACCATGGTTTATTGAGACGTTTTGGTTCAGTCGTGGTTTTTGGAATCGCCTGCTCAGCTACATCTTGAAGAATTGAAGTGAATAAGGCCATAGGCTCATCCGCATCTTCTAACTCTTTTGCATCAAAAGAGATGAGACACAAAGATTCAAACAGAGCCCAATCAGCCTTATGCAACTTCCACCTCTGGGGTCTTTCGACCGGAGAGGGACCATTATTATCTATCAAGATAGGAAAGTGGTCACTACCACACAGATCTTCATTTACCCTCCATGTAAAATCCTGAAACGGGACCGGGGAGCAAATGGTAAGATCGAGAGAAGAAAAAGAAGCTGTGGCAGGATGTAGATAAGTAGGCGAGTCATCGTTTAATAAACACAAATTATTAATGTTAATGAAGTCTGCTATTTGTTTACCTCTGTTGTTATCATCTGGACTACCCCAGAGTGAATGATGACCATTGAAATCTCCCGTAATAATAAACGGGAGAGGAAGTTGTGTAACAAGGTCATCAAGATCTCTGGGATTTAGATGTAAACTTGGTGGAAGATAAATAGAACAGAGTGTAATAGGAATATGTAGAGTCACTCTAACTGCAACTGCCTGTAACGGCGAGTTGAGGGTGACTTGACTCTGAGGAATGTCTCCATTAAGGATAATAGAAACACCCCTATGAGCTCTACCATCATTAGTTGAATGTTGATGATAACTAACAAAATGTCTAAAAGACAAAGAGTTAGAAATCCGTAAAAAAGTTTCTTGCAAACAAATAGCTAAAGGATTAAACTTTTGAATTAATAGTTGGACTTCATTAAAATTTGGCTTAAGACCACGACAATTCCATTGTAGAATGGAATTAACCATATTCAGGGAGGTTTTACAGGACTTCTAGGGGGTTTGTTATGGGGAGGGGCGTTGTGTATATCAACAACTGTAATACCTTCCTCCTCCATTGACTCAACTCCAAATCTGTTATACAAATCTATTGGGTCAGAACCTTTCCGGTTCCCTTTTTTCTTGTTTTTCTCTTTTTCTTGGGAA